GTGATTTTGAATTGAATTGGAAATTCAATTTTGAGGAATTTGAGGAATTTGGGTTTGTATTGGGCTAGGGTTTAGGTTAGGTTCAATTGATGATTCAAATTGGTCCAAAGGTTTGTAATAAAGAGGTTTGGATATCAATTGGGTAGAAATTTTGGAGTTATGAAGTTCAATTTGATGGAATTTTGACTTAGGCCCAAATTTGGGGGTTTTAGCCTATGTTGGATTTGGGTTAGGTTTAAAGCTAGGATAGAGCCAATTCAAAGTTCAATTTGGTCTAAAGAAATTTTATATCAAATTTTGAATTCAAAATTAGGGAAATTGGATAGGTTAGGGGATTCAATTTGAGGAAATTTGGTATATGGTCAAATTAGGCATTTTAGTTGGGCTTGGAATAGGTTTGAAATTGGGTTCAATTGAGCTTCAATTTTTTTTAATCAAGCTTAGATAAGAGAAATTTGAGTTTTGCATTAAAATTGGAGTGATTTTGGTGAATTTGGTGGGAATTTGGGGTGAATTGGGGATTTCGGGCCTTAAAGGGAAAAATTGGGATGTTGGCCAAAATTGGTCAAATTGGACTCAATAGAGTGGTTCAAATTTATTTTGTAGAAATTTGGAGTGATTTTGAAGGTTTGGGAATTTTTGGAATTTTTGGGGTATGGAGGGCATTTGGTAATTTTGGGGATTTCGGAAATTTTAGGGTATTTTGGTCAATTTGAGTGATTTGGAATGATTTAAAATGATTTTTTAGAGATTTTGGAAATTTGGGTAAAATGTAATTATGAAATTATGGGAAAGTTTAGGGGCAAAAGGCTAAAATTGGGTATTTAAGTAAAGTTGGGGTTCAATAGGATGTCAATCATGAAATTACCCTTCATGAGCCATGAGACCAAGGGATCCCCCACTTTGGATCCTCCATGTATTGGTCTTAGCCAAACCCTAGTCTAGGGCTAATGGTTTAGGGTACCATCCACATGATTTTCCTAAAAGAGTAAGGGATCAATTAAGCATATTTGGTTAAGGATTAATGTTGTGAGTGTAAGTGAGGGATATCAAGTGTATGTGTGTGTGAAACTGACCAAGAACACATAACCCAGGGTCAACGCTAAGGCCAAACAGTTCTATGGGGACTCCTCTTGAGCTCCCCCATATTGGCTCTCTCTACTAAGTGCTAGAGGTTAAAACCAACATGTGGAACTTCAAGCTGAGCAAACAAGAGTTTTAGAATATCAAAAGGTGGGGGTGCCATCACTAGTCCTCTAGGATAATCAACAAGAAAATCTTATAGCCAAGTTCCTAGGCTTCTAAGGAAGAAACTAGGCCTCATCAAAAAGTGAGGTCAACAGAAGCTTATGAGCTAGCTAACATTGTAGTGGGGCATATTTTTGGCACTATTCACACCTCTTAGAGAATGCTTTAGTATCTCTGTGTAGATTCAGCTTGAAATACCCCTATTGCTATACTCGGTGTGTTAATTTCCTTCCTTCTGATTGACTCTCACACTCCTTAGAATGAATTTCCTAAAGAATTTCTCTTTCCTTCCTTACATTTAAGTACCTCATCTATAATGACATTGTTAATTTCAAAAAGTGCATTCATTCTATTAGTAAGTATTGAGCGGCTTTGAATTTGAATCTCTAAGGATTTGCGACCTCCTCTTCTTTTTATGGTCTCCATGTATCTTACGTAGGGATTCATTCATCTTTTAATCTCTTTAGTTTCTACCATCATCGCCTCTGGTTCCTTTATGATTGACCGGGTGAGTTTTTTTTATGTCATCCACTCTTTTCTTCTCGGCCAACACGCTCAATCTTGATCTTTGTGAATTTCTAGATCCATGTATTGGCCTTTTTATGATATATGATCATCACTACAATTCTGGCCTCAAACTCTCTATTTATTTAATTTCCAACCAACTATGAGTCTGACTTCACAACCAAACATAGGGTGCCCATTTCATAGGCAAGATACAATATGGGGATCGGGGCTTTGTATTTTGCTTTTGTCATCTCGACCTCCTTAGTTGTCGAGTGATACGATTGTTCTACTTATGGGCTACTGAAAGACTACCCTAGTCTCGCTCCGGACCAATTTGATGCATCACCCACATATAAGAAACATTTTTATTGTTTGGTATGACTTTATTCATCTGACCACTTGTATTATGAAATTTTGTCAGGAAATCCACCATCGCTTGAACCTTAATGACCATCTTCACGACATACGTGATGTCAAATTTGCACAGCTCCATCACCCACTTGAGTAGTCAGTTGAAATGTTCCAATTGAGAGAGTGCTGACTTCAACGGATAATCTGAAAACACCAAGATGGGATGTGCTTGAAAGTAGGGTTATAATGTAGGAGCTGACACAATCAAAGAAAAGGGTAATTTTTTTCCAAAAACTGTGTACATAACCTCCGCTCCTCGGAGAATGCGAATAGTGTAGTAGATTAGGAACTGCTTTCCTGACTCTTCCCAGACCAGTACTAAGCTGATTGCTTCAGTGATTACTTCAAGTACAGCGAGGTCTCCTCGTTCAGCTTTAGGCTTTGAAGAAGTGATGACAATGCTAAGGAATCATCGGAACTCTGGAAGGCCTGTTGGAACTCAGTCATCCAGTCGAAGATTTTGGCCTATTTGAGTATCTTGAAAATGCTGTGAATTTATCACCTAAGCTCGAAATGAACTAAATAAGGGTTTCGATCCGACTAGTCAACTTTTGTACCTATCAAATATTTCATTGGGACGACATTTCAATCAACGCTTGGATTTTGTTTGCGTTGGCTTTTATGCCTTTGAGAGTTAGGAGATAAACCATGAACTTGTCTGTCGAGGCTAGAAATACATGTTTTAATTGATTTAACTTCAAATTTTATTTTCTATGAGTTTGGAACAATTCTTTTAAATCTTTTAGTATTGTTTAGCCGTCCATATTTCATTAGGACATCATCCATGTAGACATCAAATTTTTTTTATATTTTGAATAGTAAATATTACATCTATCATTCTTTGACATGTTTCCTTGTATATTTAAGCTCAAATAGTACTGTATTGTAATAAAAAAACACCCATAGCTTTTATGAAAGCATTTTTCCAGCATTGGTCGAGTGCATCTTTATTTAGTGATACCCCTGGAAGGTGTCAAGGAAGTTTATCAAGGAATGACTCACAACTAAATCCATTAAGGTGTTGATCCTCAATATAAGGTAGCAGTCTTTCGAGCAAGCGAAATTCATGTTCGTGAAGTCTACACAAATTCTCCACTTTCTGTTGGCCTTTTAACCGTAATGATGTTCGAGACCCATGTGTGGTATTGCACCTCCAGAATGTATCCTATTTTTTTCAGCTTCAGTACCTCTTCTCTGATTCAACCCATTAGTATTGTCGTTGAGTTATTGATCTCCTGATTTATTGGTCAGACGACGTTACTCACGCTCAATCAATAGTAGGCGATGTTGACTGGTATTCCTGACATCTCCACAATTTATCAAGTGATGACATTGTGAAGGTCCAAAGCATCTGGACTATCAGTTCCCTATGCCCTGTATCAAAGTTTTCTTTTATCAAAAGAGATTTAGCTGCCTTTCCTTCAGCGATAAAAATCTCCAGGGCTCTCTCACTGGTCTCGAGAACCCTTTCCCCCATGTTCAACAGGCTGAACGACTCATGTTCCATGCTCCCTAGAACCCAAAGTTAGCAGACCCAGAACTGCTCCATTTCTCCTCAGACAGTTATCACTTCTCTGTTTTCTGAAAACTTGACCGTGGCATGGTATGTGGATACCAAGGCCATGAAATGGTTTAACAACGGGTAGCCAAAGATGGCGTTGTAGGTTAAGGTGAGTCTACTATCATGATGTTCTCCATCTCACCCTATTCTTGTTGAACACAAGAATTCGTGCTCACCACATCTTTTAAGATGTTAAATCCAAATTTGTTTAAGAGGCACACCTAAAGAATAAAGCGAGACAGGGATGAAAAGAGCAGAGAGAGTATAACAATGAACAACAAAATCATGTAAAATTTATACATAAAATAAGCTCCTATTATAGGAATGAGAGTTGTAAGATCACATTCTGTACCGCTAATAAAGTAAGTACAATAGTGGGTATTTTGGGCAATAAATAATTGCATTGTTAGGAGCTCAGAACGACATCCGACTAAATTGTTAACCGGGAGTCTAAGATGATGATAGTTTTGGCTAACCGGTTGACCAGGAGGGGTCATCCGCTTGCCTCAAGTTCGGGCAATTCTCACCATCCTTCCGACTTGGTTGAGAAATGACTACAGATTAATTTTTTGTTGTACCAATATAAAACTGAATTTTTTTTATTTGCAATAACTTTAAATTTAATAAAAACTTCATATAAATTAAATTTTTATTTAATAATTGTGTTTATAATAGATGCAAAATCAGGAAGGAGATAATTTTTAGTTTAATTTTTAATTGTATCATTCAACTCGTTTTTAATTTTGGTTTCTCTGCAAGTGCATTCTTACCTTCATGCAGGTCCGTTATTTGTAATCGAATTTTTTGATGCACAAAAGTAGCTGCGGCAAAATTGCAAAAATAAAAATTTCCGAGGCGCAGTTCTAAATATCAATTAATTACATTTAAATGCTTATGGCGTAGTAGATTGCCGCAAGTGTTTTAGAGCTGGGGTACTGTACAGCATGAGGAGTTTTTCTATTTACATCCAACTCTATCTATTTATGGACATATTATCTTAGCTTTTGAATAACAATAAAAATATCATCTACGGCAGCTGCAATGCTTCCCTCCATCCCTCCATCTCAATCTCCATCTCCGTCTGCCACTTGCAACCATTTCGGCACGTGCAGTACTTTAGGCACGCACAGCGGAAGAAAAAACTTTTCCACTCGCAATATTTTGGCACGTACCAAGTCTGCGCTTGCGCGTGCGAGGCCTCCCATACGTGTGTTTTCCATGTATATCTTGGTGTGGGTTGCGCACTAGAAAGTGGACCAAGCCTTAGTGGATGTTTTTTATTGCTCGCGGTATAAGATAGGCAGGGGTGATTCGCTGTAAACAGCAAGTTAGCTATGGAGAGAGAGAGAGAATCCAAGTTTAAGAGGATTTGCGTTTTCTGCGGCAGTAGCCAGGGGAAGAAGATTAGCTACCAGGATGCTGCTATTGAACTCGGGAAGGAGCTGGTCTGCTTTTTCTCTACATTTTTCTACCTCGTTCTAAACTTTAGTTGCCTCAAAGTTTCAGCTTTTTGAGCTTTAATGGGTTTTAATCTTTTATGGATTGACTACTTTCCATTGGACTTGGATTCTGTCATACCGTTAGTATGTCATCGAACAATTTCGCGTCCTTGCAATCCTGATAAGCATTGGTTATGCACTAATAATGCTCACTTGGATTCCTTCATGTCGTTAGTATCTCATTGAATAATTTCTCGTTCTTGCATTCCTAATAAGCATTGGTTATGCACTAATTATGCTCTCATGCAAATGATTCCATGTTCTTTTAATTGCTTCATGTTATCTTGGTTCTTTCTGAGGTTAGAAGGATTGGGATTTTCCAGGTTTGCAGAAGCATTGATCTAGTCTATGGAGGTGGGAGTGTTGGATTGATGGGATTGGTTTCCCAAGCAGTTTATGATGGAGGGAGGCATGTCATTGGGTAAAGTTTTCAGCTTTTCTTCTTTCCTTTTTTTGTAGTGTATTAATTTCTGTGCCCGGTGCGGTCACATAGCCTGGCTTTCATAGGAAAGACTTCATTGTTTTTGTTATTTACTGCTTAGAAGCTTATTCTTAATGTTTGTCCATTCAATGCAGAGTTATTCCCAAGACACTCATGCTTCGAGAGGTATGTCTGGCTAGGAACAATTTTTTATCATTTATGCCAAAATAATTAAGTTAACAGAATAGTAAATATTTTAAGTGTCTCATGTGGACCTTTTTTTCTCTTTGCCCTCTTTGCTTGTCTTCACCATTGGTTTCCTCTATTTGCATCTTTTATTGTGGTTTTTGATTTTTTATGCTGATTGAGGAATCACAGTTGTTTTCTGGTTGTTATTTTATTTCTGAATAGTGACTTTTTGGTTTGTTTACTGTTCATTTGGTTGATTTTAGATAGACAATGTGTAACGAAGTGATAGTTTTTTCACTTATTTTGAGATTAAAAATGGAATCATAAATTTTGAGGGATTTTTAAGGTGTTTGAAGACAAAATCTTGCATTTAGCAAATGTTGAAATCATTTAGCACGTCTTTTTTTTTTCACTTTTTTTCTTAATTCAAGCAACCAAATGTGTCCCTTAAGAGTTGCGTATGTGAAGATTACACATCAATTAATTAACATGGTTTTACTTTTTTCTTTTTCTTTTTTTTTTTTTTTTTTGAGATATTTGCATATAAGAAACATTTATTTTAAAGCTTTAAAGTGACTAGAATATTAAAGTCATACTTTTGGCTTCATCTGCAAGACCATAATTGCTACTCTGTTAAATGATTAAAATAATAAACCGACGGAGGAAAGTTGCAGCCTTAGGAAACACCTCTTTCTCTCTCTATTCCTCAATTAGTTTTTCATTTATTTTATTTTCAATTTTTGTCATGTTTGTCTTCCGTTTTGCAGATAACTGGTGAAACTGTAGGAGAGGTGAAAGCTGTTGCAGATATGCACCAGAGAAAGGCAGAGATGGCTCGGCAGTCTGATGCCTTTATTGCATTACCTGGTAAATGTAAATCATGAACTTTATCACAAAAATCACAAAATATTGTGATGGATGTTATAAAATATGCTTATAGCATTTGCTAATCTGATTTCTCAACAATCGAAAGAAGTGGAAATGTTGGAGCTAAAATCCCCAACTTAGCTTGAGTTGATTTGTTTTTTTTACTTTTACCTCAGATCATTTAGGTCTCTAGAATCCCTATGGGCTCCTTTTCCCTTGGCGCATCAAATATGTACTTTTCCTTATGAGTAACCCTTAAGTTTCATTTGTTTCTCATCTGTCTTGTTTAATATTCTTAAATATAATTTTTGCTTATATGATAAATGTGCTTGTAAAATTATTACTTGAAGCTATGACTTCATTAGTATCTCTTAAAATATTGGGGGATCTGAAATAGCTTAATTGGTAAAGAACTCCAAAGTTGTTGGCCCTAATATTTTACTTGAGGTGGCTCTCTTTCATGAATAAACCATATATAAATTATTATTATCCATATCATAAAAAATCAAAGAGTTATTTTTTTCCTTCTTAAGAGGTCCTTCCCCAATTTCTATATGAATGAAAAGGTAATGGAAAATTATGCTTTATTAGAATGAAACCTGGAACTCTTCTATATGATCAAGTAGAAAAAGACATGAGCTTGTAGCATTTATCTTTTCCTATAACAGTGAAACCTGAGAGCACTGACACCAAGAGAAGCTTACGTTCATGGCAAAAAAATATCATCTGTTTGCATCTAACGATAATGATAACTCTAGGAACTGCCAACACAGGGCATTGAAAATTAGGGTGTGCTGAGCTGCATTTACTTTCATTTTGCAAAGAAAAGCAGTATATAAGTCTACCCATTTCATAATCATGCCATTTGCAGAGCAATTTTAATGAAAGATGGACCTTACTCTGTGCTAGGCCTCCTATTTAACTATTTGTCCGAACTTCAAATTAGGTGTTATTGTCAGCGTTTAATATTTACATGCTCTTCAGCATCAGCCGTTACTTAAATACTTTGCTTTCCCTGGACAAAGAAAGTTGTACTTATTGCGCAATAAACAGTGGTATAACCCTAAAGCTAAGAACTAAGAAACTTTTTATAAATTATTAATATAAAATACCTAATTAAAACAGTCTATAACATTAAAATGAAATTGAGATTTTTATGAGAATTAAATGGAGTTATGGTTAGTAGCATGAAAATGAATATAAATCATTGAATCTTATTATGAAAAACGAACATCACTTCTTTTTCTGTGAGAAATCATAAAATATTAGGAAAAAATATTTAAAAAATAAAATTATTTGAATTTTGGAATGGAGCAAAAATTTATTGCAAAAATTATGGTTGGAATAAAGTAAGTGCTAGAAAAAAACACAACAAAAAAAATAATTAAAAAAAAAACCACAACTGTCTCATATATGTGATGGCATATCCCCCTGTCTGTCCTGAGCAAGACTCATGGTCAACATTGACTTATTCTTAAAATATTTTAGACCTTTTTTTGAACATTATCTTACATTTTAGATGATGTTTGTGGACATTTTTTTGTTCTTCATTGGTCACTTTCAAAATATTATTTTGATGAAAGAAATCATCAGCATTTTGAACTAACTCAGAGCTTCCATGAAGGTGGATATGGAACTCTTGAAGAGTTGCTGGAGGTGATAACCTGGGCTCAATTAGGCATCCATGACAAGCCGGTAACACAATTGCCTACTTTTCTTCTTTCTTTTGTTAAGAATTCTTTTGCTTTCTATATGGTTCCAAGTTACCAATATTATTTTGTCTCCCATTCAAATGTTGCTTACTAATTGCAGGTCGGGTTGCTGAATGTCGACGGCTATTACAACTCATTGCTTTCTTTCATAGACAAAGCTGTGGAAGAGGGATTTATCAGTCCAAGTGCTCGGCATATCATAGTCTCGGCTCGAACAGCCAAGGAACTAGTCAAGAAACTTGAGGTATTTTCATTTTCTAAATCCATCCTCGCCTTCTATATTTCATATACAATACATCTGTGCTTTTATTATACAGGATGATGCATATTCTTTGCTTTAGGATTCTTACTTGTTTTTTGTTTGCAGGAATACATTCCAAGGCATGAAAGTGTTGCTTCAAAGTTGAACTGGGAAATAGAACAACTAGAACAGTCTGCAAAATGTGAGATCTCGAGGTAGTAGAACCAAAGGCGCAGGAGATGGAATCACGTTTTGACCAAAGTGTTGGGAGCAAATTTGGGGGGCCAAAGATTGCTTTATGTAATGAAGAAAAAAAAAATGTGTTTTAGGAAAATTCTTTTGTCCTGTAAAGCAACCCCAACTCTCCTTTATATTTAGGTCTTACATTTTATGTCTAAAAAGATAAAAAAAAATCTGTGGAATCGCTTTCTCAAGGTCCGCGTGGTTTCTAACTTATCTAAATCAAACTCCTGCAAAATAAGCGGCTGCATAATAACTGCACATTTGCAACTAAGGGTATGTTTGCGGCCGCGTTTTTTGCGCGGCGCGGCCCCAAACGGCTTCGTGCATTTTATTACTTCTGTTTGTTTTGTAACATCGCGGGGGCGGTGTGTTGACGCTTTTGAGAAATCGGCTGTGGATCAAGCCCGCGGACCCGCGTTCGCCTCTAATATTTCTTACCTTTACCCTCGCGACACTTTTGTCCTAAACGTCCTCTTCGGCGTCCCCTCGTGCGAAAAAGAGAAGCTTTGCTCCTTTGCTCCTCCCTTTCCTCGTCTCTCATACGAATCAAGGTATATGCATCTCGAACAGTTCCTCTCCCGAGTCTCCCTTGCGTCTCTGCTCCTCGCTTTCCCCTCTGCGAAGTGGTTACAGGAATGATCTCTTTTGCTTGCTCATAGATGATCTACAGATGAAGGAATTTTTTTTTTGTTCTATGCTATGGCAATTCGAAAATGGATTTGGATTAGTACAGCACTATGCATTTCTTACCACTACTATGTTCTAGGAAATCGATTTCTTGCCAGTACTATGTTCTATGAAATCGATTTGTGGAGAAGTGCGACACATTGGGATGTTTTTCGGGTGCTATGGAGCCATTTCGTGAGATGACTGAAATGCAAATATAATGGTATTAAAACGCTACGGGCTATGCTTCAAAATCTATATATATCAATCCTCCCAAAATCAAATTATGATATATTCGATCTTCTCCTCTACAATACTACTCTTGCTCTCGGATTTGGCAGTGGCTTTTATTTAAAAAAAAAAAAGATTAATTGCTGTTTTCTTGAAAAGTTATTTGATATTCATTAATAAAAAAAGATTATTTGTTGCTCTCGGGCTACTTGTTCTTCTAGGCCTATGTTTTCAAAATGTGGAGAAGTGCATTTTTTTTAATTTAAGCTATTGTTCAGCTATCTTGAGAATTTTCTATGTAATGCATCTTTAAAGATGATCTACTGTTGCATTTGGAATTCTCTCTATCACACATATACAATGATTGTTTTGCCTTTCATTAAATTCGGACATATGTGAAGCTGAGTATACATTAATTTGTGTTTGAGTACATCATGTTAGTAGGAAAGCTGATAACCCATTGCTAGGACGTGCACTTTGGGAGAAAGAAAATGTTTGCTTCATATTATACCAAATTGAAAATGTTTGATTTATATCATACCCTCACCTCCTCTCTAAATTGTTTCAATGACATTTCTTATGCCTTCACTTTATCGTAGTAATATAATGGCTACTAAGGCTCCGTTTCGGGCAGTTTAAAAGTGCGGTGGCGTTTTTGAAAACTCCGCCTTTGTGTTTGGTTCGCGCATTCCCTCAGCGTTTTTAAAAGCGCGTACTAAATTTCTTAATAAACGCGGGATGCGGGGTGGGTCGACCCCGCGTTCGCTCGGGATTCTTTACTTCGGTGCCCTTGACCTCGAAAGAACGCGCGAACAGGTGTTTCTGATAGGAGCGGAGTGCAAGGATGAAGATGGGAGTTTCGGTGGTCTATGTTAGCCGTGATCCCGTCGTTCCCTTCCCAGGTAGCCGCTATCCCGTCGTTCCCTTCCCTGGTAAGCCGCGATCCCGTCGTTCCCTTCCCAGGTACCCGCGAAGACGATCTAGGACCGGCCTGGTAAGGTTGATACAGATATCAGAGGAGCGAAGAACGATCTGTATCGATTTTTCTTCGAAATAAAAATCTGTCGTCTTCTTCCATTCAATAATTCTGTGAGTCATTGATCGTTATTTTTCATTTTTTTTTTGGGACTGAATATTCTTACACCAATTTCGCTCAATTTCTTTTGGTTTCTTCTTCCCCTTATTTGTTTTTTTTTTCCCTGCATAAGTGTTATTATGCAGGCCACTTTATTTGGTAGTCTTTGCAGTGGCGAAGGAACCATTAAATTGAAATGACGTATGAGTTTTTGAATGAACAATGGCTGCCTTCAGAATTGATGAGCAAGGGTAAAATGTAAGGCTAGTTAATTTGGTTAAGGCAAGAGAGACCTTCGGATGGAACTATTTTAAGACATTAAACAAGTCTGGAGTCATATGAAATTTTAATTTAATTTTGCACAAGGAAATATGAGGCGGGAGTATGGAGTCATACGAAATTAACTATTTTGCTAGTTAATTTGGTTTCTTCTTCCTTTTATAAAGTTTGTTAAACTTAATTCTCACATTTAGTCTATTCAACACATAACAAACAGTGTTGATTCAACCCAAAAGTATTCAAAAAGCTTGTATCTATTTAACATTGAACTAGTAGGTTTTATAAGAGTTCTATTTTTTTCTTAGCTACCCTATGCTATTGTGGTGTCCTGAGGATTGAAAACTTTTGAAATATGCTAGTCTCTTTACAAACTATTTCAAACTTCTCATTAAATTTTCCACATTGATCACAATGAATAGTTGTAATATTATAACCAATTTTTTGCCCATCCCATACATAAAATAAATAAGGGTTTAATTGTGACTAAATTATTAGTAGAATGGAAGGATGATCTAACATGATTTCCATGATAACAAACATAACATTTTTGGGCATTTATAAATTCTAGTTTAGGTATCTCTATTACTTTTTTAAGGGTGTTCATACTAAAATGACATAGTTTCCTTTGCAACAACCAAGATTCATCGAAACTGATTTTGAGTCAAAAAATTTTTTAGATCTTCTCATATTTTTGAAATTAATCACATAAACATTACTAATATGAATACCACCACTTGCCTTCTGTAAATTATTTTCAGCAAGTCACTTTTTATTCCCTTTTAGATTTTAGTGTTAAGTATTTACTTATATCACCAGTCACATGCCCAAAACACTTGTTATAAAAAGACCACATGAATTCACTAGTCCTATTTTGAAGGCATCCTTGTATAATATACAAATTAGTAATATTGAGAACCCATAGCATTTTGGGTCACTTCAATAAGGTAGATTAATGCATATGGTGATGAGATTCCAAATTTTTTTTTACTTCCCATTTTCATATGAGATTTACTGGGGCATAATGAGCAATGTATACAACTACTCCACATGAATGACATGTAAAGCTAGGAAATGAATGCGTAAATCTATGAGATATAAGGCTCTTCATTTGAGAAGAGAATGCAACTAGAAGTGCCAGTCCAGATGGTGCAAATGGTGGTGAGGATTAGAGACCTATTTTCTAAGATCTAATACTTCTCTTTTGAGGTAAGCATTTCCACTTTTAGTTATTCAAAGAACAACCCTTATATTATGCTCCCACACTCAAAAACTATTAATTACACTTCCTAAATCAATATAGCATTCTTTTAATTCATTATAGTTTGTAGTAGTATGTGCAGGTGCTTTTGACTTTTGTATGTGTAACATATTCGTTTGATGTGATCGAATATGTATTAGTTATACAAATATAAATCAACCTTTTTGTATTTTCTTGTCTGAACAGTGATATTTAATTTTGTTGAAAAAATAGCAAATTCTGCTGCACAGATTATTCATTTAATTAAAAAAAAATTGCAAATAAGCTGTTTACAAAACACACTAACCAAAAAACTAAACAACTTATTCTTCACAAAGGTAGAATGATCAATTTTCCAGAATCAGCTGTTTTCCATAAGCGCCAACCAAACCGCCATACAGCTAATCCGGATAAGCTGCTCATCAGCAGATTATCGGGATAAGCTGCTTATCAACAGAATCTGGATAAGCTGCAGCTGCCCCTAACAAACCCTAAGTCTAAGGAGCTCGGAACACTGACACTTTGGGAGAAAGAAACAAAAAAATATTTTGGGAACCTGCTATCTTTAAAATGCAAATAATATTGAATGCAGTCCAATGGGGATGTTTTGGAAACTTGTAAACATTAACTACAATTCCTTTGGGGCTGATTTAGAAACCTGTAAACATTAACTGCAATGAATATTGAATGCAATCCTATGGAGCTTTTGGTTGTTTTTATTATGATGGATGAATTTTCCTGTCTATGAAGTGTGCTCCTTTTATACTCAAAATTTGAGGAGTTCTATAGGTTTTTGTTGCTTGTTATAACATGAGAGTGGTTTTGCCTCATGTTGCTGCAACTTATAGCAATGGGGAAGTCTATGATTGCAAGGGTAACACCTGAACTTCTATCATCTAACACTTGAACTTTCATATATACATACATAGACATTTGCTCAACTCATTCAACTGACCAGAAGAGATCATGCTCTCCAAGGTTGTTTGGTGGCAAGAATGAAACAGGATTTATAACTTTCTTGTTAAGCTCCTCAAGAGAATTCAAGGAATTGGGATAACACTTTATTTTTTTTTTTTTTTGTTCTGAGAAAGCTGCATGGAAGGCATCATTTTAATTTTTTCACTAGGAAAGGAATATGTTGTAAATGTATGAAAATGTTTTGCTTTTCACTCTTAGCATTGACAATGAGACATTGTCGATAGGAAGCGATATATATATATTTTTTATTACAGTAATGAATATATTTGATTCCATTTACGTGGATGTAGGTCAGCATGATCGAACCACGTTAAATCCTTTGTCTTTATTGGTTTATTTAATTTGTTTTATTTAGACTCTGTAAATCGAAATTCATACTTGTATTGATGGATATCTCAATTTTTTATACTTTGTAAATGTTCTAATTCAATGTATATCTCTGTCGTACTAATAAAATTGAGCATTTATAAATAAAGATCTTGTTACACCTGCAATGTTATTTCTTCTTTTCTTGGACTCAGGAGAAGTTGAGCTCACAGATTTCGTGGACATCCCGACAAACATTATGTCCCTGTAGCCTCTAACCCTCACTGCTGACATCATGTCAACCACACAGCTACGGGAGGAAGTTCTATACCTACCCACAGAGCATCGTCGAACAGTGCAGCTTCTTCCGTTGGGCAGACAGTTCGATTGATTCCTCAGATGATGTTGATCGAGAATGGAGAACATCACTTGAGCAAAGTCTGGCACGGGAGCTACATT